AAGCAATTCTCTTGCCTCAGCCTCCTGAGTAGCTGGGACTACAGGTGCCTGCCATAACACCTGGCTATTTTTTTTTTTTTTTAAATATGGAATGCTTCATGAATTGGTGTGTCATCCTTGCACAGGGGTCATGCTCATCTTCTCTACATGGTTCCAATTTTAGTATATGTGCCGCTGAAGCGAGCACAACACCTGGCTATGTTTTAGAGACAAGGTCTTGCTCTGGCTCAGCTGGTCTTGAACATGTGAGCTCAGCCAATTCACCTGCCTGCCACAGTCCTGGGATCACAGACATGAACCACAGTGCCTGGCCAGGTTTTTCATTTTTTTATGAGTCAGGTTCCCACTCTCGCTCAGGCAAAGCTCTAACTCCTGAGCTGAAGCAATTCTCCCTCTTTAGCCTCCCATAGTGCAGGGATTATAGGCATAAGCCTTCACCCCTAGCTTTTATAAAGTTTTAAAAACAGCTTTGAGATATAATTCACATACCATAAAGTTCACTTAGAGAAAGAGTGTAATTTTTTTACCTTTTTATTTATTAGAAACCACTGGGGTTTGTGCAAAGGTCGAAAACTAGATCCTCCAACTTGGCAATGAGCAAATCCTCGGGCTTTGTTGGAATGTATCACACCTCTTGTAGCTATAGATGTACTATATTCCCTGAGTAAAGAGCGTGTCTAGCAAATCAGACAGAAAATATAAAATGAAGTAAGAGATTTATTATAGCATTATTAGTGCTAATGACACAAAAAGACCAGCCATATTTAACTGCTATGTGTTTCCTTTTCTCAACATCATCATAGCTCTAAAAGTTATAGTGCTATAAAATTATTTAAAGCAAATTCAGTTGAGACATAACAATCAAATGCAATGTACAAACCCTGACTGAATTGTTAACATGGATGGGGTCAAAAATTTAAAATACATTTTTGAGGCAAATGTGGAAATCTTAATAGGGACAATATACTATTTATTACTAAATTAATGTTAACTTTCTTAGATATAATAACATTACTATAGTTGTAATAGAGCAATGTTCTTATACATGCCTAAGTATTAGTATCATGATATTTGTAATTATTCTCCAATTATTCAGCCAAAAATATGTAAATACTTAGAGAAGTTAAGTCTATGTGGCAAAATGTGAAAAACAGGTGAACGAAAGTTAAGAGTATACAAGTATTCACTGTACGTTTCTTTTAAATTATCTAAAGGTAGGAAAATTTCTTTTTTTTGAGACAGAGTCTTAGTTCGTCACCTTCGGTAGAGTGCTGTGACGTCACAGCTCACAACAACCTCAAACTCTTGGGCTCAAGCAATTGTCTTGCCTCAGCCTTCTGAGCAGCTGGAACTACAGGTAGTAGTCCCACCACAACACCTGGCTGTTTTTTAAGAGATGGGATCTCCTTGCTCTTGCTCAGTCTGTTTCCAACCTGTGAGCTCAGGCAATCCACCTGCGCTGGTCCCTTAGAATGCTAGGATTACAGGCATGAGCCACCATGCTCAGCCCTAAAGGTAGGGAAAATTTCAAGAAAGAAGCAATCATTTTAAAAATTAAGCAGGCCAGCTGTGGCTCACGCCTATAATCCCAGCACTCTTGGGAGGCTAAGGCAAGTAGACTGCTTGAGTTCATAAGTTTGAGAGTAGTCTGAACAAAAATGAGTCCCTGCCTCTACAAAAAATAGAAAAACTGAGGCAAGAGGATTGCTTGAGCCCCAGTTGGAGGTTGTTGTGAGCTATGATGGCAAGGCACTCAACCCAGAGCGATAGCTTGAGACTCTATCTCAAAAATAAATAAATAAATAAATGAATATAAAAATTAAGCAAATGCAACTGATGAGTAAAGAAACTCTATATCATAAATGATTTTCTTTGTATCTTCCATAATTTTAGTTATTACTGCTATTTCAATAAATATAACATAAAAAATATTATCCCATAGAAACAGTGTTGTCTGGCTCAGTGCCTGTGGCTCAAGTGGCTAAGGCACCAGCCACATACACCTAAGGTGGCAGGTTCGAATCCAGCCCAGGCCCGCCAAACAATAATAATGGCTGCAACCAAAAAAATGGCCAGGCGTTATGGCGGGCGCCTGTGGTCCCAGCTACTTGGGAGGCGGAGATCAAAGACTTGCTTGAGCCCAGGTGTTAGAGGTTGTTGTGAGCTGTGATGTCACGGCACTTGACCCAGGGGGACAGCTTGAGGTTCTGTCTCAAAAAAAAAAAAAAAAAGAAAAGAAAAAAGAAACAGTGTTGTCTAATAAAACTGCCTTCAAGGGTTGGGCTCACGTCTGTAATCCTAGCACTCTAGTAGGCTAGATGGCTTGAGTTCAGGAGTTCCAGACCAGTCTGAGCAATAGTGAGACCCCCATCTCTACTAAAAATAGAAAAAGTAGCTGGGTGTTGTGGCAGGAGGTTGTGGCCCCAGCTACTAAGGAGGCTGAGGCAAGAGAATTGCTTGAGTATAGGAGTTTGAGGTTGCTGAGAGCTATGATCATGCCCTGGCACTCTACCTAGGGCAATAGAGTATGACTCTGCCCCAAAGTAAAAAAAAAATATTACAAAAGAAATGAAAGAAAATAAAAATAGAAAACTTAGCCAGGTATCACAGCATGAGCCTGTAGTCCCAGATACTTGGGAGGCTGAGGCAGGTTTAACCCAGGAGTTTGAGATTGCTATGAGCTAGGTCAAGGCCCTGGCACTGTAGCTGGGAAACAGTGAGACACTGCCTCAAAAAAAAAAAAAAAAGAAAAAGAAAAAGGAAAAAAAATTACCTGTAATGACAAATGTTTTTTCTCTGAGCTATTAGAAAGGCAGTTATCAAACACTGGAGATAAGGAACTGAATTTTTAATTTAATTTAAACTGATTTAAATTTAATTAGCCACATGTGGTTAGTGGCTCCTATGTAGTATTCAGAGCAGAATTCAGATGTGAAGAAAAAAATGAAAATTTTAAACAATTTCAAATATATATTTAAAAAAATAAGCAGATGGCTCAATGGTTAATGGTTCGCTTAATGGTTAAGGCTCCAGCCACACACAGGCTGGTGGGTTTGAACTCGGCCCAGGCCTGCTAAACAAAAGTGACAATTGCAACCAAAAAACACCTAGGTGGTCTAGTGGGTGCCCATAGTCCTAGCTACTTGGGAGGGTGAGGCTAGAGAATTGCTTAGTGGCTCCACAGGTAGGGCGCCGGCTCTGTATACCTAGGGTGGCAGGTTCAAACCCAGCCCTGGCCAAACTGCAACAAAAATAGCTAGGTGTTGTGGTGGGCGCCTGTAGTCCAGCTACTCTGGAAGCTGAGGCAGGAGAATCGCCTAAGCCCAGAAGGTAGAGGCTGCTGTGAGCTGTGATGCCACAGCACTCTGTCCCAGGGAATAAAGTGAGACTCTTATCCCTTAAAAGAAGAAAAAAAAAAAGATTATCAGAAAGTAGAGCAAAATGTACATATAGTTCTTTACCTTCTATCTACTTTTCAATGATTCTCAAATTTTCTGAGTATAGATTAACTTTATTTATTTTACTGAGACAGAGTCTTACTATGTTGCCCTCGGGAGAGTGCAGTGACGTCACAGTTCACAGCAACCTCAAACTCTTCTTGCCTCAGCCTCCCAAGTAGCTGGGACTTCAGGCGCCCGCCACAACGTCCAGCTACTTCTTGGTTGCAGTTGTCATTGTTGTTTAGCAGGCTTGGACTGGGCAACAAACCCGCCAGCTTCAGTGTATGTGGCTGGCACCCTACTCACTGAGCTACAGGCACCAAGCCTATATATTAATTTTAAAAAGTAGAAAATAGTTTTAGAATAAAATTAGTACTATCCTATGTAACATCACCAGAAAAATCAGATTAGCTATTGAAGCTTATTACAAATACTGGATTGGAGAGAGTAACTTTCACATAGTTATGAAGAATAGTCACATAAAATAATGTCAAGTAATTAGGGATAAAAGTAAATTTTCTTTTCTTAAACCTGAGGAAATACTTGTAAATAAAAGCATTTAAGTCAAATGGTCTTACATTCCATTCACCACTGAGGGTATCTGCAAAACTTAGAAATTCACTGGCTCTCACAATATCATCTATGTCCATGAAGAAATCTACGTAGTTTTGGTGAAGATATAAATTAAATAACTCTCCTGGCATGTGTGACATTTCTACTACTTCCTATAAAAAGAAGCATACATACACAAATTTGGTTAAAATGCAGTAGTCAGTTATATATGCACACAAATTATATATCCACTGTAACCAGTACTAAGTGTTAAGAAAGACCTTACCTCAGGTTGAATAAGTAAAGTATCCCGTTCATATTCGGATAAATGAGAAGGCAGCTGAGGTGAGCCTAATTCTGTTAAAGATGCTCCTATAAAAAATTTCTGGAATTATTAAAGATAATACCATTGTTTTTCTTTTTTTTGAGAGAGAGTCTGAAGCTATCGCCCTCAGTAGAGTGCTGTAGCATCACAGCTCATGGCAACCTCAAACTCTAGGGCTTAAGTGATTCTCTTATCTCAGCCTTCCAAGTAGCTGGGACAACAGGTGCCCACCACAATGCCCAGCTATTTTCTGTTGTTGTAGTCGTCATTGTTGTTTTAGCTGGCCTGGGCTGGTTGGAACCTGCCAGTCTAGGAGTATGAGGCCAGTGCCCTACCCACTGGGCTACGGGCACTGCCCATCTTTATAATCATATAGTACCTCTCACTTAAGATTTTCAACACTTTCAGGCTAGGTGCAGTGGCTCATGCCTGTAATCCCGGCACTCTGGGAAACCGAGGCGGATGGATTGCTTGAGTTCAGGAGTTTGAGACCAGCCTGAACAAGAGCAAGACCCCTGTTTCTACTAAAAATAGAAAAACTATCCTGGCACAGTGGCATACTCTGGAGGCTGAGGGAAGAGGCTTGCTCAAGCCTAAGAGTTTGAGGTTGCTGTGAACTATGATGCCATGGCATTCTACCCAGGGCAAAAGAGTGAGACTCTATCTCCAAAAAAAAAAAAAAAGATTTTCAAGACTTCAGACACATAATGCCAAAATACTAAATAAGCTATTAAAATAAAAAAACAAATACGGGTGGCACCTTGGCTCAGTGAGTAGGGCAGCGGGTTCAAACCTGATCCCAGCCAAACTGCAATAATAAAACAGCCAGGCATTGTGGCAGCCACCTGTAGTCCCTGCTACTTGGGAGGCTGAGACAAGAAAATTGCCTAAGCCCTAGAGCTGGAGGTTGCTATGAGCTGTGATGCTACAGCACTCAACTGAGGGTGACAAAGTGAGACTCTGTCTCTAAAAAACATAAAAAATAAAATAAAATAAAATAAAAAACAAAGCTTGAGCAAGAGCGACCTCATCACCACAAAAAATAGGAAAATTTAATATGGCACACTCCCTAGGTGTAGGATACAACTACAACTCTGATTTTTAACTGTCACGTGTAAATTATATAACCTAATCGTTTGTACCCTCATGTTAATCTGAAATTTAAGAATGGGAAAAAAAAAGAAGGGGCAGCGCCTGTGACACAGTGGGTAGGGCACCAACCCCATATACCAAGGGTGGCAGGTTGAAACCCAGCCCCGGCCAGCTAAAACAGCAGTGGCAACTGCAACAAAAATAACCAGATGTTGTGGCGGGTGCCTATAGTTCCAGCTACTCAGAAGGCTGAGGCAAGAGAATTGCTTAAGCACAGGAGTTGGAGGTTGCTGTGAGCTATGACACCATAGCACTCTACCAAGGGCTATAGAGTGAGATTGTCTCAAAAGAAAAAAAAAGGAAATAAAACAGAAAAATTAGCCAGGTGTGGTGGTGCAAACCTATAGCCCTAGGTACTAGAAGGCTGAGGCAGAAAGATTGCTTTAACCCAGGAATTTGAGAGTGCAGCAAGCTATGATGACACTACTGCACTCAAGCCCAAGCAACAAAGTAACACCCAGTCTCAAAAATAAAAACAACAGAATAACTGGGAGCTTATGTGCATCTATTTTACCAGTATTACCAATAACTAAATTAAGCATTCTGATGCCTGGATTATGGCTTTTTTAGATTTAAAGTACTGCATTTCCCATTTGGGTAGAGTGGCTCATGCCTTGAAAGGCTGAAGTAGGAAGACTGTTTGAGGCCAAGAGCTCAAGACCAGTGTGGGCCCTGACCAACATAGCAAAGTCTTGTTTCTCACAAAAAAAAAAAAAAAAAGAAAAAGAAAGAAAAAGAAAAAAGAAAATGAAACATTAGCCAGGTGTGGTTGCATGTACCTACAGTCCCACCTACTTGGGAGGCTGAGACTAGAGGATTCCTTAAGCCCAGGAGTTTGAGGTGGCAGTGACTTATGATGATGATGCCATTGCATTGTAGCCCAGGCAACAGAGCGAGACCTTGTCTCAAAACAAAAAGCAAACAAACAAGCAAACACATAACCCCTCTATTTCTCAAAGTACAACCGTATCACCTTTCTCGCTTTGGGCTGCTTTCTTCCTTTGATCCTCATCTGAATATGGATGCCTTTTTTTACTCTTTTATTTACTATTTAGAAAGATGCTACTCTTTACATGAGAGAATAGGAACCTCATTTGCTAATGCAAGAAATTATAAGTGAATGGTAGAAAGGAAAATAAAGGGTAGAAGGAAAAAATTTAGGTGGAATAGCTACTTAGGTTCAGAGGTAAGGGGATCCAAAGACAGAGGAGTGTCTCCCTTGCCATCTAAGTGATATCTATTTCATTTTTCTCAGGTGGCATGGAGGTTTTCATTTAAAGTCTCAGTTTTCTTCCTCTGTCATCGTAAAAATGAAGATGGGTATCTTGGCTCAGCGCCTGTAGCTCAGTGGCTAGGGCGCCAGCCACACAGCAGAGCTGGCAGGTTCAAATCCAGCCTGGGCCTGCCAAACAACAATGACAACTACAACCAAAAAAGAGCTGGGTATTGTGGTGGGCACCTGTAGTCCCATCTACTTGAAAGGCTAAGGCAAGAGAATCACTTAAGCCCAGGAGTTGGAGGTTGCTGTGAGCTGTGATGCCATAGCACTCTACCCAGGGCAACAGCTTGAGGACCTGTCTCAAAAAAAAAAAAAAAAAGGAAAAAAGAAAACAGGTTATCTCCTATTACTGAAAGGAGAATCAATCTGGGAGATGAGCAATGGAGGTAGAGGAGCTGAGGAAGAGCAGGCATCAAAGAACACAGCAGAGGGCAATGAACAGCTCTGCCTTAGGAGGCCGCAAGCTAATGGAGTACAGAGAAATAGAAGAGGATTGCGAGAAACCTGTCAATTTATCTAGGGCCCTGGTGGCTGGAGCCCACTGCTAAAAGGGCTATAGGCTACCAATGTGCCACTAAAAGTTGGACTGATGTTTTAACTTCAGCAAACTATACTTTTAAAGATTTACAGGTATGGATATAGCCTATAGTAAGAAGTTTATTTTTTACTTCTTATTCTGCTTATAGTCAGAAAATACTCTACCTAAATACATTTTCTTACAACTTTTTAGGTCTTGGCAAACAGTATCTGACCTAATCCTAGCTCTTTCTTGTGACAGAACAAAATATATGCATTTAAAAAAACATGGTATTTTATTTCCATTGTAAGACTATGTAAAATCCAACAGATTTTTAAAAACATAAATTTTCTTACTTTTACAATATAGAATTTTCCCCAAAGCTCTGAAGAGAAACAGAGAAACGTCTTTGCCACCAATAGCTTGGACTTCTTGATTTTCAAAAACCGTATCAGGTTTTTTTCTTCGTTTTGATTTTGACAGTGCAGCATCTGATTTGAATGATACTCCTTTTTTCTTCGGCCATAAATTGTTCTCTCCTAATATACACCAAAGTGACAATATTTAAAATTAAAATATGAAAATTAAAAAAGCATTTCATTTATTTTTAATACTAAACATTCTAATTAAATATATTTTTGTAATTAACAGTAATTATAAAATGTTAACTCATTCAGAGTCCTCTGAACCAATTTTGTAAATATTCTAAAATCTGGAAAAATCTGAAACACTTCTGTTACTAAGCAATTCAGGTGAGGGATACTCAATCTATAAGGTCACGTCACCTTGTTTTCTCAAGTGATATGTGCAAGGTACTGTTCTTTGAATAATACATATTAATTAATTTAATCCTATCAACCCTATGAGGGGAGAACAATTATTACACAAAGAAATGAGATATAAAGAGGTTAAGTAACCAGTTCTGGGTTAGCAAGTAAGTGATTTGCATCCAGGTCATCTGTTTCTGTAATCTATGTTAACAACTATGCTATATTACCTCTCTGCTGATTTTGGCAGTCCCCCCAGTTTATAAATATGCCTGTGTTCAACTTTCACTTTTTCTTTTGAGACACAGTTTTACTATGTCACCCTCGGCAGAGTGCCGTAGCATCACAGCTCACAGCAGCCTCAAACTCTTGGACTTGGGCGATTCTCTTATCTCAGCCTCCCAAGTAGCTGGGACTGCAGGTGCCTGCCACAAAGCCTGGCTATTTTTTTGTTGCAATTGTCACTGCTGTTTAGCTGGCCCGGGCTGGGTTTGAACCCACCAGTCTGGGTGTATGTGGCTGGTGCCCTATCTGAGATATGGGTGCCACACCAAATTTCACTTTTAAATCTATTTAAAACTCTGAATATATGACTTAAAAATAGCCTCAAACAGCAGGAAGTACACATGATCTGTATCTGAATTATAATACCATCTATCTCATTAGGTTGATCTGAAAATTAAACAAAAAAACCTGTAATTGCTAATATAGTTCCTGGTATACTCAAAAATTATATTCTTGTCTTTAAAATTTTTCTGGGCTCAGAGCAATGTTATAAATGATAGTTAGGATCCCAAACTGGTTCACGTTAGCCTTTCTAGCCCGTAATTCCAGTAATGAACCTAAGTACCCTTTACATGTGTATTTCCCCAGGAATAAGCAGAACTCTGGTTTTAGTTGTGTTAGGCTGCTTATCCCCCCACAATTACTTTGAGAAACAGATGCAAGCCAAATGAATAGGTTAAACTTGTGGGCAGGAACACCAGGATTTCAAGTGGATTTAAACTTGTGGGCATGAACACCAGGATTTCAAGTAGATTTTGAGAGTTCCAGAGATATCGTTATATTTATTTACAGTAAATTCCTGAATGTGAAGCATCAAGTAAGTCTGTTAAAGCTTTCTCGTGAGGACTGTGCAGGAAATTATGATCATTAGGGCTAACATGTTACTCATTGCCATTAGTGAAGCTATCTTTGTATTATTTCATGGCTATTTAGACTTTCACTTTTTTTGCAATTTTTAGGCGGGGCCAGGTTTGAACTCACCACTACCAGTATATGGGGCTGGCGCCTTACTCCTTTGAGTCACAGGCACTGCCCAGACTTTTTACATATTAATAAGGGAAAGTAAATTTATCAGACATATCATATAAATTATCCTAAGTTCAAGAGGAAACCTATCTTTGAACAATATTATTAAACCTATTAATGATTGACCTTTTATTTTTTTGAGACAGTCTTACTATGTTGCCCTCAGTAGAGTGCCATGGTGTCATGAATCACAGCAACCTCAAACTCTTGAACTCAAGTGATTCTCTTGCCTCAGTCTCCCAAGTAGCTGGGACTACAGGTACCCGCCGCAAAGCTCGGCTATTTTTGGGGTTTTTTGGTTATTGTTGTTTGGAAGGCTCTGGGCCAGGTTCAAACCTGCCAACCCCAGGGTATATGGCTAGTGCCCTATCCACTGAGCTATAGGTGCCGAGCTAGTGGCTGACCATTTTGTGAGTCCTTAATATACATCAAGTACTGGCTCGGCGCCTATAGCTCAACCGGCTAAGGTGCCAGCTACGTACACCTAAGGTGGCTGGTTAGAATCCAGCCCGGACCCACCAAACAACGATGGCTGCAACCAAAAAATAGCCGGGCGTTGTGGCGGGCGCCTGTGGTCCCAGCTACTTGGGAGGC